GATATAGATCCGATAGAAGTTAGCAAATCCAAGAAAACACTGAACATCTCTAACCGTCTTCGGAACTTCCCAAGATATAATTGCTTCTACCTTTTTTGGATCCATCTTCAAGCCCTCTGTAGTCGCAATGAAGCCCAAAAATTCCATCTCATTCTGGTGAAATTGACACTTCTCCAACTTGGCGTAGAGTCCTCGTTCGCATAGTTTTTCAAGAACCAAACAAACGTGCTTCTCATGTTCTTCTTCATTCTTGGAAAATATCAAAATATCATCCAGATAGATGATAACAAAGTCATCGAGGTACTCCCAAAAGATGTCGTTCATCATATGCTGAAAGACCGCTGGAGCATTAGTAAGACCAAAAGGCATGACATTGTACTCAAAATGGCCATACCTTGTACGAAAGGCTGTCTTCCATTCATCTCCTTCTTTGATTCGCACAAGGTTGTAGGCTCCTCTTAAATCAATCTTTGTAAAAATCCTTGCACGTCCAAGTTGATCTAAGAGGCCGGAGATCAAAGGTAAGGGATAGCGATTTTTCTTGGTCACCTTGTTGAGTCCTCGGTAGTCCACGCACATCCGCAGTGAGCCATCTTTTTTCTTCACGAATAGGATTGGTGCTCCAGTTGGCGACTTTGAATGTCGAATAAAATTCTTGGCTAGATTCTCATCGATGTACTTCCGCAATTCTGCCAACTCCGTCTGCGATAGGTTGTATATTGGACCAAAAGGTGGTTGCGCTCCTTCCTCTAAGTCTATGGCGCAATCATATGGTCAATGTTCCGGCAGTATATCGGCGTTCTTCTTCTGAAACACGTCTTCAAAATCCCTATATTGCTCTGGTATATTCGATGTTGAGATATTCTCACCGCTAGTTGGAGCTGCATAAATGACAAATGGTGCGCCTTCCTTGGACAATCTTAGGAATGCTCTCGCTCCAATAAACATGGATTTCTTCATGTAGGTTCTACCAACAGGTTTATTATTTTTTTTTTCAGGAAATGTTATCCTTCGTAGCCTCCAATCAATGGACGGATTATGATCTTCTAACCAAGAAAGACCAAGGATAACAGGGCTTGATGGGGTTCTAATAATATTAAAAATAACGTGACTACTATGGTCCTTAAACACCACTTCTATAGGTTCTGATTCGTGGGTAACGTTGCCTGACAATAAGGGTCGTCCATCTATCACCTCTACGTGAACAGGTTTGGACTTCTGTACTAAACGGATCTTGTGGCGTTTAGCAAACTCTTCATCTAAAAAACAAGTAGATGCCCCCGAATCCAATAAAGCTAAAGTTTTTTGTTTTTGAGGGCCTAAAAACAAAGGAATTGTAAAACAACGGGCAGGTTGGACAGAGAAGGAGGAACCTGATTGTTGTCGTGATATTAGATTGTCCAGCCGCACGCTTCTTACTGTGGCTGGGCGTCGTCGTTTTCCGGAATCATCGCACTTCTAGTCTTGACAGGGTGCCAATTTTGCTTCTTTGGGCAATTTCCAACCTTGTGACCTTCTTCTCCACAGTACAAACATAACCCTTCCTCCATACGTCGTTTCTTCTCTGTTGGAGTAAGAGATCGGACACGCGCCGTGTCGATTTGCATGTCTATTGCCTCCGAATGTGAGTTTAAGCTATTTGCAGACATAGTCACGTCGTAACGAGTCATTTGGTGTCTTGGACGTTGGTCTTGGCGACGCTGGAATAGGCGGTTGTCACACTTTACAGCTTGGCTAATAGCTTCGTTGAGCGTTTGAGGATCAGGAAGAGATAACAGCAAGTCCTTCACATCATCCTTCAAGCCCCAATAAAACTGACTCACCAACGCCTCTTCACCCCAATTAATGTCACTTGCCAATTGTCTGAAATCCGAGGCATAGACTGATGCAGAGCGTGTTCCTTGTCGTAGCGATCGGATCTTTGTTGTAGCCCATCGAACTTTATCATGCTCGCCAAATGCTTCTGCAAACGCCTCCAAGAACGTTTCAAAGTTGCTCAGGATTGGCGATTGCTTCTCGAACAAGGGAGTAAACCAAGACAGAGCTTGTGCTGTAAGCAAGGTTCCAACAAGCCCAACACGCGCTTCCTCCGTCGGATAACGTTCGGGCTGTAAAATTGTTATCAACCTGATTTGGTTGACAAAACCTCGAAACTTGGAACGAGTTCCATCAAACTTATCCGGAAGACTAACTCGAGGCTCCTTTCGTTGTAGGACTACTCGATCTTGTTGAAATGGAGGTAGAACTGCTTCTTCTGGCGCAGAAGTTTGAGGCTGATATGCTTTAGATGGCGCTATCCCAGATGCTCCATTGTTATGGAGTCCTACCATGACTCCTTCGATCTCTGTTGTCCTATGTGACAACGAGGCAAGAGCATTTATGATGGCGTCTAGTTTGGATTCCAAACTTTCAGCCATTTTAACGTCTTAACCTTCGGCTAACCTTCAGAAAGAAGAAAAAAGAGTTTTGACAAGAAGACAATATTGGTTCAGAGGAGAGTACTCCGCAACCTCTAAAACGCCTTAAGACTCCAAGATGAGGGGTAATCCACTCTCTCCAAGAAGAATAAGGCTCCAATATTGAGAAAGAAGAGATATCAGTTTAGAGGAGGGTAATCCGCAACCTCTAAAACACTAGCACACCTTCAAGAAGAGGGGTAATCCACTCTCTAACAAGAAGGAACTAGCTCTGATACCAGTGAAAATGCAGTCTCGACAAACTGTCACGGACACAAAATACAGACTTGAAATCTAACAAGAAATTCAAGAAGAAGTGGCAGAACTAGATTAAACAGATGAGTACAAGAACAACACCAGAAAGGTGAGCTAGAGCTCCAAGAGATGTGTTGTCGAGACTGAAGAACCCTTTAGCCTCGACTCCTATATATACTACTGAATAGGAAGCTTCTCGAGCTACTTCCGCTAACTAGGACGCTTCTCCAACAACTTCTACTAATTAGGAAACTTCTCGAGCAACTTCCTAGAATCTATCAAAATATTCTAGAACCTTCTAAGAATATTCTAGAATCTTCTAAGAGAATCTTTAGGGAATATTCTAAGAATCTTCTAGAACCTTCTAAAGGAATCTTTAGAGAATCTTTAGAGAATATTCTAGAAGAATATTCGAAGAATCTTCTAATGTATGTCCATGACACATAGACATTTATATTTATCTAACTAAGAAGTATTAAAAAGAAGATAAATATAGATAGATTTGATAATATCTTGTAGTGAAGCTTCTTAGAAGTTTCATAGATACAAATTTGACTTTAGTCGTGTTTATGATTAAGTGGTAGATTTAAAACTTAGCCAACAAATTGGCCACATATTATGCATGTTGGTAGCTTGTGATATAAGTTGGTTGTGTGGCACACATTTAAAAAACTTATTTTGTAAGTTAAATATGTGTCTTATAGGTTGGACATGTCTTAGAGGTTCTACAAAACATTGCTATGTAGTTCTTAGATAGTATATATAGATGAAAGAATAAAGCCTTCTTTATTCTTGTTAATGTCTTTCTTTTACTTAGTCTTATTTTAAGAGTCTATAGTCTTCTTGTCTTTGGCAATAATCATTTTAGTTTTAATAATATACTATTTTTGAATAAATATATACTCTGTTCTAGTGATATAAGAGTGTATTAATAATTTTATTGTTTGTGATTCATATCCTTGATAATTCAAGTTTCAATATTTTTAAGCAAGTTTAGCTACAATGTCAAATAAATATACTATTCATATAGCCAATGGTACATCAAATGAAGAACTTATTTTTATCTAATACAAAGTATCTTCATCAAATGTTGTAATGATTTTAATTGCCTACTTTGCTTAGAACTTAACCAAATCATCATTTCTTGAAGGCTTAGTAATTACTTAAGCCACTTCAAAAGATAGAATAATCACCTTGCCTTCCAATATCTTATCAAATAAATAGAAAATCCTTCTTGACTTAAAATTTAGAATCAACATGTCAATATTAAAAAAAAAATACATCTATAGTATTTTATAAGCCAAAGTGTATGCAATAGGCTTAAAAATAGTTTCTTCATCTTATATTAAAGTTAAAATATAAGAATTTTTTATAAAACTAATATTTGTAAGTCCAAATAACAATGACAATTGAGCTAAAGTAATAGAAAGGATACGACAATTATAATAGCTATGTAAAAGTATAATATCCTTTTTGGTATCACAACTTTTCCATGATTACAGAGGATATGATAATTATAATAGCTAAAAAATTCTTTGTAGTGTTTATCTATAATATTATAGCTAAATACTCAAACTTCAAAATTGTCATGTTTATATCCATAATTCAATAATATTTTTTAAATATTTTTTTATTATAAAAATAATAAAAATATTCATATTATTAAGATATTGAAACTAAAAAAAATTGAAATCTTTCAATACATATCAATACAAATAAAAAAAATCCTTGATTATATCTTTATATAAATTTTTATTGTTCTTTACTTTGACTTGTGTATTAAAATTGATAACATTAAAGGAAAACAAATCTTTAGTAATTTTGTGAAAGAACTTGCAAGTGTCACAGGTGATATATGTTGAAATTATCAAGTGATTATTTAAATATTTATGATAGAAATATAAATAGTATTTAATTGGAAGTTTATTGACTATGATGTAATCAAATGTTGTTAAATTTCAAAATACTAATGAAGTCACAAACATTACTGGTTTGTAAAAGAAAATTATTCAAAATCTCATGTTAACTGTAATTGCCACAGGCATATGAAAAGAGTTAGAAAACTGGCTGAAAACAAAATACGGTGCATTATGCATTGCTTCTAAAATTGGCAAGACAATTCCAAAACTCATGGATGCTTTTCTCTTTCTTACACATTAATATATGACAATTTCTACACGTTTGTGCGTTCGTATAATTTGACAATTCGTACAACAAAAACCACAATTTATCTGCGCTTATGAGTGAAAAAGAAAAAATAATAACTGCACAGAATATACTCTTGACGCCTTTAAGATAAATATGTCAAATGTAACTCACTTAAAGATACATATCAATCAATGTAAAAATAAGCATGAAAAGCTATGTACACATCCCGATATAGATATTGGCTGCGACCTAAGATACGTCTTTCACAAGGGAACACCGCTTGTGGGGAAAAAAATGGTAATTAATCAAATGATCTGGGCTTTCTAGTACAGGTCATAACTGATGACCGTCAAGTACTAGGTTAACACCTACACTAAATAAAAGAACAATTCTTTACTGTACATAATGTTTTCAATATTTTAAAAGCTCTCCGTATCTGAGAAGTCTGAAACAACGTCGTCGCTTTCTTCATTTGTATCTTCGCTGCTACTATCACTGATGATGTATTGCATCTTCCGGCGGCCAACCCGTGCAGGTCGGGCTGCTGCTTCGGCTTCTGCAGCTTGCAAGACTTGTTTGGCTGTCAAAGCCTTGGTCTTTTTGTTAAGAGGTGAGGCCTGAATCCTCTTGATCTTCGGAGGTGCCTCCTTGGGCTCAGGAGCTGCCACTATCTCAGGTGAGCTTGGAGATGAAAGAACTTGGCTCTTGGCTCCTATCTTCTGGAGTCGTTTCCTTGGGGCAGGTTTGGTCACAATGGGAGCTTCGTCCACAACTTCGGAACGCTCCACATCCTCTGTAATCATGGAAAACCACGGATCAAAAATTACGCAAATAGCAGAACAGGGGCGAAGAGTTTACTGCACTTCCATAGTTTCCTATACTGAAAGTCAGCCCACTCAACATGGCTTCCCATATCTTGTAGATTAGGAGCGATAAATAGAGCACAACAGCTAGGGTACCCACCTATCACAATGCTTGGTTGCACAACCTGGGCATTGTAGGCAGCTAAGCGGTCACGAAGGCTTGCAGTGAAGTCCTCTTCGTCGCTGTCGTCAAGTTCCTGTAATTGCACAACTATATTTGTTGGTATTTTCCAGGAATTCGACAAGAACTGTTTAAATAGAGAAAAATGCTGACTTTCCCAATTCCCGCGACAGGTGAATTGAAGCTGTCCTTACCAATATTTTGGCGGGCTTCTTAGGGACAGCCTTCGCTCGTGGTTTTGGTGCAGCTTCTGCATGAAAACAGAAACGTAAGATGATTGGTTTATTATGCACATAGCATCTAAGATCCACTCAATAATTCGTACCATTCAAGATGAAGAATAAACTGCTAAGCTGATAAATACGGTAGGCACTTACTCGTCGGCGCAGGTTTGCTTACTGCTGGAACAACTGGGGCAGCCGCAGCTGGCGCATCATAATCTTCATCCACAGATTCGACCTTCTTCACTTTAGGGGCAGCTTGCTTTCTAGGAGCAGGTTTTTTGAAGGTTTGATTCCCTTCTTTGGCGGAGTGCTTAGCTTCATAGACAGCATCAATCGCCTCTTGTTCTTCCTGGGCCTGTGCGACAGCAATGTTGTAACGTAGTAACTTATCAGACACTGCATTATCATCAAAGTCATAGTTGCGGTGGAGTAGAAACGTATAGTCGGACGCTTAAAACAGGAACTTAAGGCGGACCAGACTTACATCCAACTTGACTAAAAACTCGTCAAGATCCTTTATCCACAATGCTTCAGGTGTAGCCCTCTTAAGCTCCTCCACTTCCTCTTCCATCTTATCACGCTGACCACGAAGTTGTTGGACTTTTTCGTACGTCAAAGATCCGATTGGCATGGACAATAGATAGTCGTAGTCCGCAACCTTTACCCCTTTCACCTTCTCGTCCTGAATGCATTGGACACAAGATGTCACATGGCTAAAAACATAAATGAACACACGACATAAATGACTCTCAAGTTTTACTAGAAACATTCCTACAAACTGCATTGTTTGATCATTTCTGAATGGCAAGGACTAGAACGCACCTGCTCATTGTCTTCCGGAAGAGGGTCGGCACCTACGACGGGGGGATCAGGCGACTTTGCCTTCTTGGGGAATGGAGCAAAACCTTTGTGTTGAAGCTCGGATAGTAAATCTATACGCTTGCGATTGTTCACAATAATTTCACCCTTTACCACACCCAAGATGAACCTCACTTTATTGTCCACCTTTACAAGCTCGTATTGCAAGTTTTGTAATTGTACCGCCTGCATGGAAAAGTAGGAAAATAAAATTAGACATGTGTAAAGCTGCTTGCACCTACAGCAAAGTCATCATATATCAGAAAGATGACAAATGTCTAGACAGGCACTGAAATACAGCTGCAGTACCTTTCTCTTGACGTAGAGATCTAAGCGGATATGGAAGAACTCCTCAAGAACTGTCAATACGAACACATTAACACACGTCAGTTCCACGATGTAATTATGAGATGCCGACAGGGATTAAACGACTCAAAACTACAGCTTCCTGCAACAGTCCATACACTTTCTAACGAAGAAAGCAATTTTTACTGATAAATAAATCTTACTTTGTTCTGGCGTATCGTATTTCTTAATGATTCCCTTCGCATCAAATAAGTGCATGTTACTAGTGCTTATTGTGGTGGTAAGCTTGAACTTTTTCACTAAGCCTTCCGCCAAAGCTATCGCCATGTTCTCCTCTGAGAGAGTGAGTTCAAAGTGCACTTTGGTATCCGTGTTGTGCTCTCGGAAATCCTGCACATCAAAAATAGATAATTGGCTTTTTAGACATCCACAAATAAGGTAACTGGTGTACAGATAGAAAATAGTAACTCATTGTGAGAGCTGTGAGTATCGGTAGGGCTAAAATGTGCTGAAACAACATTAAATACAGGAGGTGTATTGAGAAAGAGAGAGAGAGAGAGAGAGAGGCGGTCTACCTTGATAAATGGCTCCTTGTTCTTGTCAGAAGGGGTCATCAGGGCATCGAGAAACTCTTTGTAGTCCTGCGTCCACTTGCGGACAGGAAGCTCCAAGATTTTGATCGTTGTTTCATCGATCTGTTCTATGGTACCAGTGATTGTGTACGTGAGACCAATATCCTTGGTAGCTGAGCACTCAATTGTTCCCTGGGAGAAGACATCAAATGGATAACTGTTAGATAAAGGCACCTCGATTTACTCTAGCAGACAAATTTTAAATTCCTCAAAAACACAAAAAAACATAAGATTTTACGATTATCTGCACTCATTAGCCTGATAAAGTAAACATTGAATATCCATACAGCATGGATAGATCTTCAGAGAAGTGCATACCATGAAGCTCTTATACCACGGGTGCATAGGTGTCAATTCCTGGCCAGCCAACAGCCGTCGAATATTGGCAACAATTTCTCTGGGGTTGTAGTTAGGCACGAAGGAGCTCCATCCAGTGCCAATACCTTCGCTGCCATTGACAAGCACTAGGGGTATAATGGGGCAATACCAGCTGGGCTCAATGGACTGTCCATCCTCTTTCATGTAGTCAAGTAGGACGTCGTCCGGCTGAGGAAAGAGAGCACGAGTAATCGGCGCTAGACACGTAAAGATATAACGCGGGCTAGCATGATTTTTCCCTCCCTGCGTATAGCAATCTCGCCATATCAGAGACTGTCCATGTGGGGCATAAGAGATTCAAGAGCTTCTCAAAAATATCATAGACAATTAATTAGCATTGCTAGCGTATGAAGATATCAAAAAAATGTTCCATAACTTTACCTGCTCACGAGTTCCAAACTGACCCTCTGGTGAAAGGAGGTTGATGTTATTGCTTCCAACAAAGTTTTGCGCCATTCCAATGATGGTACTAGCTAGACTCGCCTCCCCGTGATGATACGCCGAATGTTCTGACACGTAACCAGAAAATTGCGCGACCTATCGGACAAGGACACCTGAATTAAGCGAATTTATATACAAATCAAGTGTCAGCACATACATGCTGAGCAGAACTATACAAGGCACATACAGACACCTATCAATGACATGAGTACAACGATAATAACCTTCGCTTGCGTGACAAAGTTCCTCTTGAAACAGCAGAAAAGGATTTTTCGTTGGCCAGGCTTCAATCCATCCACCATCGATGGAATGGATCTTGCAAGATCAGCCATAGAGAAAAGGATTAGTTCTTTGTTCACAAAATCACTGTATTTGATTTTATCCGCGGTCATGTCAAGGAAAGTACCGGGCTGCAGGAAGACAGTCAAATATCATTGTCAGTAAGGTTATTACTTACATCTAAAGGAAATGGAATGAAAAAGAAGGCGTTACCAACTCTGAACCACTTAACAGCACTGAAGCAACCGGAAAACCTCCTTTAAGGACATAGGCGATGGCGACAAGTAGTCAGATGATTGTTATAATTTGAGAAGCTTCTTAAAGAGGGCATGATGAACAACCTCATAATGGCGCAGCCACGTCTTCCGAGCCTCGATCTTTTTCTTACTGAATGCCATTTCAATTGCGTCGCCATCCATTTCACTTTCCCACTTGAAATCCTTTTTGTGCTTGCTGAGCTCACGAAAGTACTCTTTACCTTCTTTCGATGTTGAAGTACCCAAACCCTGCACCGCTCAGTGCTTAAGTCGGATCATCGACATAGGAGGGAGTGAACGAGTTTAAAAAATTCAAATTCTTCAAAAAGTTTGATTCCCACATAAGCACTTCACACACGAAAGAAATCTGATGACCTTAGAAAATACTTAGAAACCTATCATGGGATTTAGAGGGTCAAACCTTATAGTACTTTATGGTCCACCCTTTCGTCTCGCCATTGAGGGATTCTTTCCATGCCTCGTACTCAGGCATCGTGTAAAAGGAGAGCATCTTTTGCTTGTTGCTTGCCTGCACGCGTCGAAGTCATCAGCGAGATGAGCATACAGAAGCTAGTATCACAAGGCCCCAAGGACAACAACCAAATCCATCACAACTTACCTTAACGATTGGAGTGATGAACTCCACGAGGAATGATGGAATTTTGAGCAACGAGGGCCAGAATGAGTGGATGAAGTTGATTAACAATCCTTTGATATGAGACCCATCGTGATCCTGTGGTTACAAAAGCCAAGCAGGTAAATTTTTAGAGCTGATTACCATTAGTCGACACCAAGCTGGATATGAAATTAGCACACACAGGAACTTGAAAGGGCGCCTACAAGACTAATAAAATATGATCTAGACACTAATAGACTCAAACAAAACGAAGTATACACACCTGATCGGTCATGATCATCAGATGCCCATATCGTAATGATTTTGTATTATCATAGTCTTTGCCATGCTGGAGGCCAAGGATACGCTTGATGTTCGTAATCTCAGCGTTTTCCATAATCTGCTTATGGCTAGCTTCCCTCACATTGAGGAGCTTTCCTCGCAGAGGGAAAACACCATATTTGTCGCGGCCCACAACGCTGATTCCACTCATCTGATAGAGTGCAAGGCTGAAAGTAAGGAATGCTCAATTCCATTTCGAATTGCAAGGATATAGTAAACTAGAGTGCTGTATAACAATAAATTCTCTGAAGCTAAGTGGAATAAATGCTTACAGCAAGAGCTTTTGCGGAGTCACCCTCTGTCAGGATGAGAGTGCATTGCTCTGAAGATCTCCCACCAGCATCGTTGGCGTCATCAAGTTTGGGGATGCCGGTAATGCGTTGTCGTTTGGCACCATCGTTTTTCTTCAGCTCTTTGCTCTGCTTGAAGTCTGCCCAAGTTAACACGTTCTCCACAACTCCACATTTCGCAACTGCAGCAGCCGTGTATGACACTAAGACGGGGACCTCCATATGCTTTTCGTTTCAAGAAAGATACAGCTTGGATAACATCCAGCTAGAGTCAACTCGACTTGATGGTCATAATTAGGATAACAAGTAGACACATAGGTTCTCAGCATATATTCAGGAACATTCACTTGAGGGCACTGGTGCTTACCTTTCTTCAGGAATTCAGCTGACAATTCACATTTGGACCCGAAGCTACTAGCGCGAGTAGTAAGTGTCTCTTTCGTTTGGGAGTCGAATGTGGGATTGTTAATGAGAGCATTGACGAAAACCCACATGTGGTTTTTGATTTGAAAAGGTTTTACACCAGCTGTTTTGTTCTTTTTGTTTACGAGTCCCAGGACGTGGGAAACAATCTGATCCGCAACGTACGCGACATGGGTGCCTCCTCTGATCGTGGCAATGCTATTACAAAAACTCACCTGCGTCACAAAAGTCATGAAGCTTTTAAGCTAGCCCAATAGAATGGTTGAATTCGTAGCTGAAGACGAATTGAACTATCATGAACTAGAACAAGGTTTGTCAAATGATGAGAACATACGCACCTGATTGAACTGTCCGTCACTGAGACTGACGCATATCTCCCACCGATCACTTACTTTTTCATAAATCCTGTAACACGAGGAAATTGATTAAGTTAACAGATATGCGTTACAAGTGAAGTACTCATCAGTGGTTGTTGATAAAAAAAAATGCGGCATAATAAACTCATGGGCATGACCAAGAATGGTAGGGCTCGGAAAAATGCGTTTATGAAGAAACACAGATCAGCTCTAGACGTAGAAGTGATGCCCGCAAGCCCGAGTGAAAGACAAGCAGTGCAATGGTTAACAGGATACGAGATAATGACGCAAACCTCGGCAACGGCTCCTCACGGTTGAAATTAGCAACAGAAAGATACAGTCCGACATAATCTTGGAATGATTTAATTGGAAGACGTTTCCCATTTAGCTCAACTTTACAGCCTTTGCCTATGCAGCCAGCAATATCCACCACACGCTTGCTCATGAGGGCGACTACATCACTTTCAAGGTGGGTCATGTTGAATTTGGAGAGGTCGGGTTTAAACGAAACTTTGGTCCAATTTTCGTAGGGCTTGCACGTAGTGATTTTTGGCTCAGATTTGAGGCTCATGTTATTCGTGAAAATCTGTTTGAAAGTGACGGTGGCAAAAGTTAGCTAGTCTGCAGAAACTTCACACAGCAACAGGGCTTTGATCAATCAAACGACTCAATTCGTCATAACTCATTAACGTACCTGCTTATACCGCCTCTGACGTGTCCCGTCTGCTGTTTCAATGGTAAATTCTGTAGAAAAGATGTTAGCCAGCTTTGCTCCATACCCATTGCGACCACCCGTAGTTTTCTTTTCGGAGTCATTGTAGTTACTGCTAGTCAAAAGATGCCCGAAAATCATCTCAGGAACGTAGACACCTTCTTCTTTGTGGATCTCAACCGGCACTCCAGCCCCATTGTTGTAAACGCTAATAAAATTTTGATCGATGTCAATCTCAACCTGCGAAAAGTTGATTGATTTGCGACAGCTCAGTCCTTCATACTAACCAGGAGTATACAAAGCGCTGAGTAATCAGACGGAAGAAGAATCTGATAATATAAGCTCAAAACGACGTCTCCGAAAATACGAATCTTATGGTATTATCAATGCCTATGGACAGAAAGTACCCTTCCACGGCCTACATGATTGTAAACAAGTCCCACGCTCCGACGTGTATTAGCGTATGTTCTGTTATTATTTCCTTTTTCCGTCCATGCTGGCAAAAAATACTTTAACATTTTGAACGACAGCATTCGAAACGCTCTCTACACGTACCAATATCCTTGAATGCACCGAAGACTCTAGTAGCCCCTAGCAAACGGCCATGAATTGCCTTCAAGGAACGACAGTCTGTTCCTCACATTCACAAAGGTACACAAGCAATTGTTCAGCCTACCACGACCTCGAACCCAGCACAGAAAGGATCGCATGGAAACAGATAAAATCGAATGTGTTGGGCTGACCTTCACAGTGTCCATGGAAGGGTCGCGCTGCTTATTATCCGCGGCGTTCACAAGAATTTCATCGAAAATCTTGTACAAACCTGGGACGAATGTAATACTCCGGTTCACCATTTTCCCGTCTTCGTACACCCAAAGCGTTTGAGTGTATTTTTCAATGCTTCCGACGTAAGTGTCAGGCCTTAACAGGATGTGCTCAAGCTGAGTTTTCTTTTGATACGTCTCCTCGATGGATTTGTCCCCGTGAGGCTCGCGCTTTGAAGGTTTAACAATCTTTTCATCGACATCGTTGGCGTCGACGTTGAAACCAGAGCTGGATTGTAGCGGAACCTTGGGGGCCCTGGGAGCTTTCGCAACTTTAGCCCCAGCGGGCTTCGCTTTCGAAATCTGCACTTGGGTGTCAACATTAGAGCGCCTTCATGAAAACAATAAAAAATTCTGCTAACTTCGCTGAGATGTTGGCGGGAAAAATGCAGTGATAACACTTCGGCGCGTAACGCGAAGACCCAGGCACATAATTGAAACGGATTACAATCACTGAAAGGGAGAGATACAAGACACAAACCCCACACTCCAAAACCCGCACACGATCAAAACTCAATAAGCAAGGACACTTAGAAGCACACAAACAACCGGCAGAAGGACAAAGGCAAGCGAAAAGGAAGTCCACAGCATAATGAGCAAGAGCGACAGGAACCTCACCTTCTTCTTCGCCACTCCCACATTCTCCACTTCGCCAAAATCGTAGTCATCCATATTGTCCTCGCCGCACTAACTTTCGCTCAATACCTGTCCTCAAATTACATTTCCACCTAGACTACCACTGCCAAGGGCGGCACACAATCGACACAGACCCCACAATAACGCCGATCTTCACCTCACAACTCCCGAATTCTGCGAATATCCTCCACGCGACCGACAAGAATTGAACAATATGTCCAAGGCCGCCGTGCAAAGCGATCCACCGCCAGTGACGTGAATTCGTACCCTTGGAGCGGGACAGACATTCTCCAGGTGGGAGAAAGGCAGCATTCTCGGGAGCCGGGGGGACGGAAGGAGTTCAAATAGATGTGCGAAAGTCCGTCACCGCCACAATTTTCAAATTCAAATTCGTAGTCGGCGTCGTAGTTGTCGTCGTCGTCGGCCTCGGAACGGTCGCCATCTTCCGCGTGCACGTGAGAGCGTCTGGGAACTCTCAATGGAACGGGATCAAGGCTGGGAACAATGTGAGAACCATGTGACCCGTCAGCATAAACTTTTAATTTATAGTACCGAAAAGTGCATGGATGGTGAAAAGTGCATGCATGGATGGCAACTGGGTGAGGGGTCTACGTACTTAGAAGCCCAAATAGCAATGGCCGTTTTACAAAAAATTAATTAATTAATTAATTAACTACACAAAAGATTTTTGTGCTTTGGAAAAAAGACAAAAAAAAACATTGTCAATAATAATTTTTAATTTAGAGATAGAATAGAAGTTACGACATAAACCAAATCATTGTTTTGTTAAAAATGTAAATGTCAGTTTATATCTTGACATTTCAATCATGAAAAAAAATATATATATATATATATATATATATATATATATATGTTAAATGTTTATATTTTAAAAAAAATAGTATTCTATTATTAGAATTAAAAAACTAACCCTGAAAGTGAATCTAAAAGTAAGTGTCAAGAAACTTAAAATACAATGATTTTTCTGAGTATGAAGCCAACTGAAGAAAGATTTTCATGTATGTTTGTTAACTAAATTTGAAATCAAATTTAAAGTTTAAAAAAATTGTATTTTATTTCTCCTTTTTATTGAAAGTTGTTACATATAATGAATTATTGAAAAATATCATGAAAGCAAAAAATAATAGTTGAGACACACAGTGTCTCATTTGATCTCTTCTGAACATTTAAATCATGTTTGAAGGAAAAACAAAAAATAGTTAAACAAATATACTTGTGGAAAAAGTGATTGCTCAATACCCCACAATGTGTGAAAGTGATTGCTTTGGTTTACACTTCAAGTAGAAGTTGTAACGCACAGATGTAATTCAAATGGCACTTTTCCAATATCACCAGGATGTGATATAATTCTTTCATGTAAATCGCCAACACTTTCAATTGATTTCGATTAAAATTTCCATAAACCTTGAAAAATAATTATGTAATCATTTTGAGTAATAAAAAATTACAAACAGGTGACAGTATCCACAACCCTGCAAACAAAGAGTTCACCCACAAATACAAATCTAAGTGTGCACTTTTCTCAGGAGCTCCATGAATAAAATCTTGATTTACTTTACAAGATTACATTCTGAAAGCATCGATCAACATAGCTTCCGCTTGAATCGTGTCAATCGAAACATTCCTCTCGAGCATGTGAAAAAAATTAGAATTTGAAGGTTTCTGACCTGTCGTCAAATCAAGGTTTACAGCTCCCAAGTCTGATCCAAGTTGGGATTTCTGGCTCTCGAGCCTGTTGTGTACTCGGGTTTGAAGTTTGAAGACCTACTGATCCCGTGGCTACTTGCCGTCAAGACGGGGTCATGAATATAGACACAACAGTAGTATAAATGCTGTAAGCAGCAAACGTGATTCCACACAGAGTGAGCACCATATCAGCAATCCGGGATTGCATGGAAGAGCTTCCTGCACAAAGCTGCATGTGAAACAAAGACGGCAGGACAAACGCGAGCAAAGCACACACAGTGCCTCCAACGAGAGAAATAAAGATGGCGAAACCCGGGGCAGAGACAGCCAGAACTGCTGTGCCAATAACTGAAGCTCCACGAACTCCATTACGAAGAAGAGTATGTAGGTGAGAAGACGGCGGGGCAATTGTCTGGAACCAGGCGCTTCGCATTAGCTTCCCCTCAAAAATTTCATGCACTGGATACATCATGAAGGGGTACGTGAAGAAGAGGCCGATGCAGAGCCCTAATTTCACCAAGATCGTGGACAAATCCTGTAGCAAATTGAGCGTGATAATGTTCTGGGTTTTGTTTCCGAAGGCCAAGTATCCGACGAAGCCGAAGAGGAGGTAGAGGGATGCGATTCCGAAGAAATCGAGGGCTAGGATACGTGGGAATTTTTTAGGGTGTTTCATAGAGGCTTCAAGAGTAAGGGTCATGGAGAATTCTTCAAAGCAGTAGACTGCGACGCCGATAGCGAAAGGGATAGAGCCGAGAGTTGTGTAAGGATGAACGGTTTGGAAGCCGCTCGGATTTTAAAGATCGCCTTTGATCACGAGTGTCATAGCAGCAACATTACAAACGTCTGCGAAAATACTGAAGGGAGCCAGAGATGCTAATGATCGCACACAGGAGAGGATGATCTGGAAGACTAATATGATGAAAATAATGTCGGAGGAGCGGTCGGTAACGCCCATAGTAACAGAAGAAATTTTCTGCCCGATAAAGATAAGATAGGATACGCAACACCCGATTTGGCTTATGCAGATCAGAATATCGACTGCCACTCGACCGGGTGCGCCGTAAGCCATCTGTCCAAGGTCTCCATAAGTGTGGACTTGCATTCCTCCGCCCTTGGCAATCGAATCATTGCACTTTATCTGCAAACTCACCACTCCCTCAAGCTTCAAACTCAAATTTCTTCATAGCCTCATTTCTACAATTGAAAAAAAAACAGTTGAAAGCGCTCAGAAGGTTTGAAAGGTGTGAACAGACTGACCAGAAGTAGCATGCAGTGGTAAGTGAGGCAGGCTGCACAGACGACGGAGACTGTAGTAACAGCCCGGTCACTCCTGCGGAATGTGTAAGGTAATCCTAAGACGCCTGCTCCCACAGTAGAGATGAAGATGTTGCCCACCGTGCGCTCTATCGAGGCTTGGCCCGTTCCAGCGTGCATTAGCAAGGACGTCTCTTCCTCTGCCGGTGGCTTCCCAAATGCTACCTCCTCTACTGCAATTTCTATCTGCTGCTACAATTGCTATGAGAATTGGAATTCCCTATCTCGTCACTGACAGCCGGCTAGGGCGTTCCGAGGTTTTCAAAACCCTTGGATACACCGCAAGGGCTTTGAAGATCAAGATCAATCAGGATACCTGAGTCATTCTTCTCACCCTTGATGGAACTCACAAACGACTGCGAAGCCCAAATTGCTTTCGTGAGACGCTCTTCTAAAGTATCTGGTTGAATTGAGCGAGAAAATTAAAAATACAGAAAACAATGACAAAAGCCTATACACGGGACATGACAACACAAACTACCAAACAGCGGGAGTCTCAAGTAGGCAAAGAAATGCTTTGCATGGGCCCTCAAATTCAAAATCTACAACGACGAAGTCCCAAGAATGAGTGAATAGAAACTCTCTGCACCTACATAATGACGAATTCCTAATATCATGGACAATAGTGCGCGGAGCTTCGGCGACCGCACGATTCTCATGCTCCTCGCAATGCCGAACACCAAATTCCGGCACTGCAACCTCAACTCTCACATTCTGACATGAAACCTCACCAAACACAGCTATTCCCAACCTCCATCCCACAAGTCGCACGCACGTATCCAAATCTGGCCAAATCCTCACAAACCTCGCCACCTAGCAGATCGAGAACGCAAAAACACAACCCTGCCACCTCTAATACAATCTAATCCTTTCCACTTGCAACTTCACAACCTCCGCAATCGCCCACCCGTCAGCAGCAGTTCATGGAAGGGCATCCAACGTGCACCATCAACAGGCCTCGGAATTCTGCGATTGCACGGTACTTTTCAGAGCCTGGAACCATTATCGTGTACATTTTTAGTAGGACATTGTGCTGATGAATTCCGAAATTACGTTCAATGTAAGTTTGAAGCTTCGATGCTAAATTTGGAATACTTCGCGTTGGGAACGAGCATCCACGATGCCTGAGAGAGTACAGTCAGATTTTGACCTCACCTTCGGTTCGTTAACCTGATGTTGCTGCATTATCCTCCTGGAATCTCGATTCCTAACTCGTAACTTCCACTATCGGACAAAGTGTAAACGACAACCATGTGAATTTACGAAACTAGGTGCAACAACAGATGCAGGAAGCTGAAATCATAACTCCTAAACCGTAAATCTTGAAGCCCTGACCCTAATCCGAGATGGTGACATCAACCTCGCCCGTGGACGCCCATCCAAAGTGTGTTCGTATCTTGCGGGTGTGGCACCACATTCCCAGTTAGAATGATTGGTGTGGATGGTGAATTGTTGATTTCCATTCCTCGTGAATATAAAGTTGACGAACTGGGCAAGAAATTTTCCATTTCTAATTCACTTTATTTCTAAAAGAACCACCATTAAGTAGAAACATGAACTGTACAAGCAAATTTTAAGAGAAAAACAACAATATTTACCTCATCCACTGTCAATTTTTGAACTTCATGCGGACAGTGTTTTAACTATAGCACTGGATCTTATGAGATGTCTACCACAAGATTTTTAAAATCACCATAATACAGGTTGACAATATCTTGGTATAAAAATCAAATACCCACAAATGCAATTGATAAGTGAATGGACAAGGCAACACAATGCTGTTCAAGAGACATGTACAAATCTTCCACAGCATTCCGTTGCATGAAAACAACCATGTGGAGAGCTACCCATACAGAGTTACTTCTGTAAAAATATGCAGTGGCCATGAGGAAATGGAGATGAAGATGGATGAGCTACAAGGTTTGTGAGGGAGGACCCCATCAATTCCTTTGATACAAGCACCTCTACCTTGACTAATCAACTTACAAAAAACTGTGGTTCCATGGTACAATGAATCCGGAGACTGCACGACGATGCAGGTCCTTGGAACCAGCCACGCATGGGGTTTGAAAAAGCTAATACCCAGATCACTATGCCATGGTGATGTAGCCATTACATCACCATTCCACCATCGATGTTGAACGTCTGCAATGAACATGCCAAACCAAGTAGTTACTCATCTGCCTCGAACTCAGTTTTCTACTCTGCCATCCTGAACCGTCTACATAATTACAACTCGAAACATCACAATCCAATTTCATACCCTAGATAGGCAGACACAGAAGGAAACTTGGTGAGCTCGACTATCGAATCACTACACTTCAACCAGAACACGGCATCAAAAACTTCCAGAATATGTCTCGTGAGTCCAGGATGTCACGGTTCAAACCTGGCCAGTGATGTACGCTGCTGCTGGATCTGTTGCTAGAAACTTCACCAACCCAGCGACATCCTCAGGCTGACCATATTTTCCTGGAAATGAATAGTCACAAACTATTTAGAAAAATTCAATGCATGCAAGAGAAATCCTCATGATTCTGAAGAAAAGGTCTTGTCTCTTAACCCCTAACGCTTACTAAGTTACAGAACAAAACAGGAATTTTGAGACAGAAAATTCAGACTAAAATCCGCAAACTGAGAACCGTCTAAAACTATTTTTCTAGTACTAAAACATATATATATATATATATATATATATATATATATATATAAGCACTCACCCAATGGAATGGTCTTAAGAATCGCCGCCTCGATCTCTTTGTTCAACTTTGCTGTCATATCTGACGCAATGAAGCCAGGAGCCACCGCATTGACCTGAGGAATAAAAGGAAGGCCAGGCGCAATCAAACAACTTCACCATAAGATGTAGTAGACAGTTCCGGGCTTCACAAGGGATCAGCATAAAGCTTACCGTGATGTTACGGCCGGCATACTCCCGAGCGACAGATTTAGTGAAGCCAATCACTCCTGCTTTAGCTGCGGAGTAATTTGCTTGTCCAACGTTTCCCGTTACACCTACTACTGATGAGATATTGATTATTCTTCCCTGAAAGACATTGGGCTCATGTAAATCTTAGTGAAAGCTATGTTAGACAAGAAAGACGCTTTAAAAGATAATAAATCCGTTACCCCGAAGAATTGCGCTGAAGGCATCGCGACAGATAAATCATCCCAACAAACCAGATCTAAGGCTCTCTGGTCCCAAATTTGACAATGAATACAGCAAATGAAAATTTACCTTTCTCTTCTTCATCATCACCTTCGTTGCTGCCTGATCAGAAAGTTGCACAACCAATACTCATGAATTAGAATTCTCGAGCATAAGGACAATGATTTTAAAAACCAAGAAAACAACAATAGTTTTTTTAAAAAAATTAAATTAAATCTTGCAAATTTTGAAACCCTCTGTGATGCAGACATGAAACACAAATAATGCATGTTTTCTATAACCAGCTCAAAAAACATGAACTTAGGAGTACTCCCGAAAAATCACCCTGGTTCAAGGCTACAAAGAAATGTTCTTATGCAAGCATGCATGCAGGGGTACGGCATTCAATGAGAAAAGTAAATCTTTCATTCGACAGCTCATGAAGAGGAACTCTTTCAGACCTGTGTGCAAAGAAAAACACCGGTGAGGTTGAGATCGATGACATCTTGCCATTGTTCCTTCTTCATTCTCATCAACAAAGTGTCCTTCGTAATTCCTAAACTTGCACCAACAACACAGGCCATTAAGACGAAATCAACCTCAAAGATTGGTACCCCACTACACGACCACTACACGACCACTACACGCATAGTCAACCCTTTCAAAAGATCCCAGGAGCTTTCCTATGTCGAATGAGGTTAAGTCAGGGCAGTCTCTTAAATGTGCATTAACGACATAGGGCCAAACATTCAGGCAAATGGTGCAGCACGAATTTCGCAAATCTCATACCGGCATTGTTCACAAGGATATCGATTGTGCCCCACGTATCCATAGCCTGCCAACACGCACTAGTTCTGATGAGTTGGACGCGGAACATGATTGGCATATTCTACAACAAAACCCGATGGTCCGATACAAAGAAATGGTTTGAACTCACGGCTTTAAATAACGCATCAACGTCTTCCTGCTTGGACATATCTCCACCGACGACAAGGGCAGACCCTCCCATCTCCTCAATCTAGGAGCACATCAAAAGGATTAACACACGAAAACCAACCAATCCTGTCTGGTTCAAAAACGCAGTGGCAGAGAATAAGAGAAACATGTCGGCGTTGCCACAGTATCAGTCTACACCTGTTGGGCAACTTCTTCGGCCTCCTTCGCGGATCGCGCGTAGTTCACCAGCACCTGTGTTACAAATCCCAACGATACAGCCAATACACTAATTGAGAAGTTCATCAATATTCAAATCCAATCACAGGAACACCCAAAGAACCACATCTAAAACCCTTCCAGAACTATTGCAAAATAGCCATTGGCAAAGATACGATTTCGAGGATTCACCTTTCCTCCGGCGCCTCCCAGAGCAAGAGCAATGGCCTTTCCAATGCCTCTGGAAGCCCCGGTGACAATCGACACAGGGGCATCCACGAGCTTCGGGGACTCCGCCACAGCAGCTGCGGACTCTATTGCTGCAGACTGGGCCCTGGGAACCCAACAAATCTCCCGTCTCGCCTCAACGCTCTTCAAATGGAGCTGCTGCGCCAGCGGGAAACCAACGGATGCCACACTGGACATCATTGGCATGCGCTGGTGGGGCAATGCCGCGCACCCTTGCTGCAGCCGCTGCGCTGAGCCGCACGCCACCATGCTCGAAGCTGCCGCCCATGTCGAAGCTGCCATTGCTACCAAAACCCGTCGGGCTCAGACCACGACCTAAGTAACCCACCTCGAATCCTACCACCTGCAAGACTATCAAATTCATAACACGAACCAACAACACCGGTGCAGTCAATCAATCCACGAATTTCGCGTTCACTCAAAGCCCGCGTCAATCACCACCCACTTCAAACTCTCCAACAGCTCCGAACCACTTTCACTGTTTCAAAAACCCACAAACAAAAAAGAAATGTACGAATCCAGGAAAGTTGTCGCAACTAACCTCCCCGGCGAGACGCAAGAGTGGCGATGGCGTAGTGGAAGAAATTGGGTGCGAATTCAGACAAGGCAATCAGTCGATTGAGTGAAGTGAGAGAGTTGGTCGTTGAACACGAAATACAAACCCGAAGGGCAGATGGAAGCCAAAGTAGGTTGGCTACGGGTTTCGAGCCGCATCATCGACTGGACGAATGTCATCTATATGAGACGAATGTTGAACGGATGTCGTCCAACGAGGCGACGTAAACGAGGCCAGGTTTTGGAGGACTTTTTAAAAAAGCTGGATTCAAGGGATAAGTTCAAAGTTGTGTATCTCTGTTCGTGGGGCCCACATGAGTGTTGAATTTTTACATTCTTTTGGAAGGGGCAGGAAAATTCGTACTTATTATTCACACAATCCATTCAAAAATACATGTGATGCATAAAAAACAACAAATGATATATTTGTTGTATATTATTTCCATGATATTATAAAAATATCTATAAATCAACAATATACAACAATGTTGATTTTTGAGTTATCAACAAGTAATTAGTTACCATGATATTATCAAGCAAATATCTTTAATTTTAAAATCTACTATTTTTTTGTCGCTTTCTTTTCATTTGGAATGGGGATTTTTCTTGATTATCTATAGCAATGGTAATTACAATTGAAATGTGCATGTTTTTTTGTACAAAAATCTATCTTAATGAAGAGATTAAGTTTTAAACATGAAATTACAACACAAATCAAAAATCAAATATGCATGCATCTATAAAGTTATCAAGGATATGAATCTTGAGGAAAGAAAATCCTTAATACAATCTTGTATCACTAAAAGGAAGTAAAAGGTCACTCAAAGATGACATAATATTAAACTAGAATGGCTATTACCAAAAACAAGAAGACTAAAAAGTCTTGGAATAAGACTAAGGATTAGAAAAGCGTTGACAAGAGTGAAGAAGGCTTTATTCTTGCCTCCATATATACTCTCTAACTATGAGCTACGTGGTGATATTCTACAGGACCCCCAATATGTATTGACTTTGCTAGCCACATGTCTTAACTTGCAAGGCAAGTTATCTATGTATGTACCACATAGTTAGCTTATTCCACAAGCTACTATACGGAGTTAACTTATTCCATAAGCTACCAACACATGCTTAACTTGTTAGTGAAGTTTCTAATCTACAAACACATCTAAAATCAAAACTATGTCTATAAAGCTTCTAAGAAGTTTTTCTAGAAGAATTTATGAAATTAATGTATATTTATCAACTTCTACCTAATCATATAAGTAACTATTGGGATAAATATATATGTTTGTGACATTATCTTCCCTTTTAGTGATGAGTTTTACAAGGAGCAATCATCATCTTTCATGGATCTTACACTTCTTCATCTTGATTTTGATGGATGTCAGTGATAAAAGGCTTTAACCTTCTTTGTTGCATTTACTAATATCATATCTTTGTTGGCTCCCATATGCATTTACTAATATCATATCTGTACCAATGAACAAGATATTTTAATCTATTTCAGTGTCACCTTAAATCTAAAATTTCTTCTACTTCAAATTCTTAATCATTATCCTTTTTTATAGGAGGAGGTAGCATTTGTCTTCTTTCTAAAATATTCACTATCTTATATGGCTCAAGAAAAGACACGTGAAATACAAGATAGATCTTTATAGACTCCAATAGATGTAATCAATAATCAATAGGATTGGTTTGTTCACAAATACAAAAAGGTTTCAGCCTACAATAGTCCAATTTATGACAAAGACGAGTAGTCTTGATATTGTGACAAAGTAACCATACCTTGTCACCCACATTGAATTAAGGTTGTCACTTGCAATAGGCATTCGTGTTGGTCTTTTGTCTTTCTTGAGCTTCATTTAATTGTATCTTCATTCTTACATGTAGCTTTGACTAACAATTTGCTAAATCTTTTGCCACAAGATTATCAACTTTTGAAAGTCAAAAATATCAAGTCATGGATGATAACCATAATTAACAAAGAATCTTTTGCCACAAGATTATCAACTCTTTTGCCATTGGCAGAGTTTGCATATAATAATTTAGTACATTTTTTTATTCAATAAACTATTTTCTTTGCTAATTATGGTTTTTCATCTTCAAACTAATGGACAAATAGAACTAATGAATCAAGTTTTGGAAGAATATTTGAGGTGTACCATCAACTATCATCAATGGCAAAAGATTCATTGAAAAGCTTAGTTATTTCTTCACTTGAAATAAATTTTGTATATGATAAAAAATATACCATTTTGGTAAAGTGGTCTATAATTACAAATATAGAGTCATATAAACTTGAAGTTGAAAGATCTATAATAAAATCCATAGAAATGGAAGACCATGATTGTTCAAGTATAAACAATGATTGGACAAGTCCATAGGATCAATGACAAGGAATTTTTGATCTTGAATAAACGTCACATAATTTGACAAAGTCTTTTATCACCTTCTACATTTGCGGCCACCAAAAATCTTTAGATATAAGCTCTAAAGTCTTATTGTATCCAAAATATCTTCCTACTAGAAAGTTATAATATACTTGAAGAACACATAAACATCCTTCTCATTTTGGAACGTATAGGCATACTTCAAAATAGAGTAGGTTGTTCTTGAATTCAAACTTCAAAACATCATGAGACTTAAAAAAAAATTTCTTGATATCATCAACAAGAAAATCAAAAGACATGCTTGATTGAATTTGTTTAACAAATGTTAAATCAATAATCAATGTTGATTTTATTGCTCAAAGTTGAAAATGCTTTAGCTTCAAGAGAATTGTTCTTTGTTAATCAAAAGATGCATGTCCTTCTTTTGGTACAAAATAAGAACGTCTAGAAAGGGCATCTAATAAATCTTATTGTTTTTTGGATTGATAAGTGATCTTGAAATCAAATCTTGATAAAGACATGCTTCAACAAATTTGGCAACAATTTAAAATACATGTTGACATGAAATATTTGAAATTCTTATGATTTGTATATACAGTGATTAGAGTCAAGGTGACTTCTAAATAATGACACCATTTTTAGAATAAATCCACGATTGCAAAGAATTCTTTGTCAAAAATCTCATAGATAATCTCGACTGCTGAAAATTTTCTAGAATGAAAAGCTACTAGATGGAGTTTGTCATCTATTTCCATTTGTAATAATACTACACTCAAGACAAATTTTGATGCATTTGTTTCTATAAAAAATGCCTTAGAGAAGTCAACACAATATAAGATTAATACAAAAGTAAACTCCTTTTTAAAACATTAAATGAAGCTTTGGCTTCTTTACTCCACTTAAGTTTATCTTTACAAGTCAAACTTGTAAGTGGAGTTGCAATTTGAGAAAAATTCTTGATGAAGATTTGATAGTAATTAGCAAAGCTCAAAAAGCATTGTAGGTCTCTTATTATTCTTGGAATCTTTCAATCGATGATAGTTTAGACCTTCTTCAGATCCATCATTAGTCCTTCATTGGAAATGATATATCCTAAGAAGTCAACTTGAGAAGTATAGAATATACACTTTTTTAACTTAATATATAACCTTGCATCTTTAAGTTTTTGTAAGGCATCATGAACATGAACTTCAAGTTTTTTTGTGTTCTTAGAATAGATTAAGAAGTCATCCAAATAACAAACAATAAAATCATCAAAAAACTCACAAAAAACATCATTCATTAGATGTTGAAAAGTAGATGGTGCATTCATGAGTTCAAAAGGCATGACATTATATTCAAAATATCCATAATTGGTTTGAAATGTAATTTTCCATTCATCTTCTTTTGTAATGCATACCAAATTATAAGCTCTTCATAGATCTATTTTTGTATAGATCTTTGCTTGATTCAATTGATGAAGAAGTCTTGAAATCAAAGGTAGAAGATATCTATTCTTGATAGTGATCATGTTGAATCCTCAATAGTCTATACACATCCTCAAAAATCCATCTTTTTTCTTCACAAATAAGATAGGAGCCTTGGCTAGAGATTTAGAATGATGTCTAAATTCTAGGCTAAGTTTTTATCAATGTATTCTTTGAGTGCAATTAACTCGTTTTGTAATAGGCTATAGATTGGTCCAAATGGTTGTTGAGTTTTTTCGTGAAGATCGATGGAACAATCATAAGCATGATGCTTTAGAAGAATATTTATATTTTTTTTTAAAAAAAACATCTTAGAAATCTTGATATTAGTTAGGAATACCACTTGACATCTATTTACCATTAAAAATAGATGTGGCATATAAGGCAAAAGATAATCTTTCTTTTGCAATATGCGTAAAGGCTCTCGCACTTACCAGTAAAGATTTGGATGTACCAAACTTATGTATTTCTACTAGACTAAGAAGATTTTGGATTAATTATTAAAAAAATTAAAATTACAAGAAATCAAATCTATTTAAGGATTATTCTTCTTTAACCAAGATAGTCCTAAAATATTCAAATTGGATGGAGATCTTATTATGTTAAATATTACTATGTTATTATGATCCTTAATTGCTATATCTAAAGAAACAGTCTCATGCGTAACATCTCTAGAAGTTATCAAATATCTATTTATGACTTTTTTATCTATATTTTTAGTTTTTTTGATTAATAATATCTCTTATTTTTTGACAAAATCTTCATCTATAAAAACAAGTTGAAGCTTCAAAATCTAACAAAGCTTAGACTTTCTCATTTTTTGTCCTAAATAAACTTTTATTGTAAAACAAGGTGAGGGATCTGAGGAAAGAATAAAATCTTTATTAGAAATTATACAAGATTCTAATCATGCGGTTCCTATGATAGGTGAAGAAACTTGTTTTTTAACACATTGTCTTCTTTGGCAACCATGTTCTTCATTTTGTAATTGCATTGTTTTTTTGGACAATGTTGAGCAGTGTATTTAGCTTCTCCACAATATAAGCATAAGCCTTCTTGACGTCATCAAGTCTTTTCCTACTCAATGAAGGATTTAAAATATACTGTATCAATTTGTATTGATTCTGACTTTGATGAATGCATTTTTGAAAACTTGGGAGTTGTTGTCATTATTTAATTTATTTCTCTTTAACCAAGTCTTTATTCTTGATGTCTTTTAAATAATTGATTGTTACATGCAATGGCCTCAAGGAGAAATTGTTCTAAAGATTTC